TCTGATCGAGTGTAATTTTGTTAAAATCCAGCTTTATGTCATCAATTTCCAGAGTTGAACGCTTATTGTAAATTTTGAAGAAGTAATCCCTAACTGCTGCCTTTATTGCAATCGGATCCTGAATCGTAATTTCCCCAAAATTTGTGCATTCAATGCATTTTGCTTCTCTCTAACTGTAGCACAAGTATGAAAGTATCTTGTATTGCGGTCCCCATCTTTAATCCATTTTGATCTAGAATACTGAAAACTGATCTGCTCCTGAATTTTAAGTAGTTTCCACAATTATGCTCTGTTAGAGTTCAAATCTGCTATTAATTCTCTATCTGAAACACCATGCTGCTGTTGTTGGACAGCCTCTAACTTTTGAATTTTCTCTTCTAAATCAGAAATCAAAGCTTTTGGATACTGATCTCTTCTCCCAACCCAGTTCTTGATTGCACCTTTGGCATTCTTCAAAATATTAAAAACACCCGTTTTCCTTTGATTTTTCTTATTGTTTTGAACAGATGACTTAATCAAGTCCTCAAAACCTTCCTCATCCATCAAGTAATTGAATAATTTGAAAGGTTTTTTTACCCCAATCTACACCCCTATTCTCAAGAGTTATAGCATTGTGATCTGACACAGACCTTGGAAGAATGGACTGAACTATATCCGAGAATGCAGCCAAAAACTGACTATCAACAAGAAAACGATCCAGTCTTACAAAGGTTGGATTATCTTGTTTATTTGTCCAAGAAAATCTGCTTCCAATCATAGCTAAATCAATAAGACCAGATTGTAGGATAAACTGACTGAAAAGATTCGTAGAATTTCTGTTCTGCCCTCTGCTAATCTTCTCTTCTTCATACAAATAAACATTGAAGTCCCCTCCTACACAAACTGGACAATTCTGACCTCTTAAATAAAGACTTAGTTCTTCAAAAAAACTTGTCTTCTCCTCCTCCACTGAAGGACCATAAACATTGATGAAGCCACAACTGAAATTATTGGCTCGAAATTTACCCGTTATGGCTATAAATCTCCTGCTTACATGATGATTTTCCAATTCAAAAATATTATCATCCCAACAACACAATAAACCCCCTGAGGATCCGATCGAACTAGATTCAATAACACCTCTGAGTTTGTTTAACCCACTCCTAAAAAATGACGTTTTAATCTTCTCTGTCTTTGTTTCTTGCAGCCATAGAAAAGAAGGATAAATCTTAGAACATAAATTCTGTACAACCCTCTGTTTTTGTTTTTTACCCAAACCCCTAACATTCCATGAGCAAATGATTAATTTTGTATTCATCATTGAAAATAAATGTCGATCTCCTTTAATGACCCCAATCAAACTAATCACCTCCTCCAAGATCACCTTGAATGATACCTATCGATACTCTCTCTAGGCTTATGATTTTTTCTAGAAAGGCTTATTTTCCTTCCTTGAAAGACACCCTCAAAAGCTTACTAACCTCCCATGTAGCTAAAGCTTCTTCCAAAAGATTTGAAAATGCTGGAGAGGAGGTGGTATCAATGCTCACATGATCTAGTGCTTCCCTTGTCAAAATTCTTTTGGCTCTTCTGATCAGCAAACTAGATTTGAAATTGGAGCATTCTCCTTCTGAAAAACATCCTTCAATCTCCCTATCCTCAATTTCGTTCAACGAGGCTCCAACAATAACAGAATCTTGTTTCTCATTTGAAGTCAAGACTGCATTAGAACAAATCTGTAGAGAAGTATTAAGATCCACCTGTTCCCCTCCCTGACTAACTATGATTTCCTCAGAATATTCCCGTACCAGTGTATCCTGTTCCTCGATCTCTTATACACCCTTTTAAAACTACACATACTTCTAGTTTCTTGCAGGTCTGACTGAGTTGTAGACAACCTCTTGGAACGATTTAGATTTCTGCGCCTAACGTTATTACCGGAAGAAATAGAACTGGATTTAACCAGCCTTAATTCTGCTTCAATACCTTCTTTTCCAATACCAACAGTCTGTTCTCCATTTTGGCAAGTCTCCATCACTTCTATTATTCTGCTGTCATTTTCTGGAGAATTATGTTTCTGAGCCATTTCCCCAAACTGGTTAATTTGGATTGCTGGTCCAGAAGGAATAACCTTAAAGTCTCGTAGCCCAGGTTGCCCAAAATCCTCAGATTGGGCCAGTGATCCATCAACCGAAAAATTTGAATTTCTAATACTTAAACCGGCTCTTTGCATCTATCCTTGGTGAAGGATATAGTTTCGCTTTTGATTGGAAAGGATATTATATTTAGGCATATTTCAAGGGCGGCAAACTGGGAAGCTGATAAACTTGCTAAAGATGGGATAGGGTGATTTTGGTTATTGTTGTGTTGTTTAACATGAATTGTACCTCCCTGTTTGTTGGATGTTTTGTGTTAAGTTTTATGTTCTTCTGTTGGAAGTGTAGGAGTTTGTTCAATCTTGTAATCTGGTTCTTGTGAATAAAAGTTTTCTTGGCTCTCCTTTCCTCCTTCGTTGTTCCTTCATGTTACTCTCATAACATGGAGGGATTGAAGGAGGATTTTAATGAGGCCTCTTTCTATAAAAAAAATACCTAAACCGGCAAACTCCCCCACATTTATACTCCCAATGTTATGACTTTCTGACAGCCCACAATTAGAGACTTTTCTAAGGGAGGAAAGTCTTGGAGGCTGTTTTTCCTTACCTGCTCCTTCAGATCCTGAAAATGCTCCCTTATCGAACCAATTGTCAACTCTCAGCCGATTTTCTATTGCTGCACGTGCTGCAACTTTTTGTCTTTTCGAAAGTAGGTTGTCTTCTTCATCAATAGACTGCAACTCTTCAAAAAAACCTTCATCGGAACCTTCCACCGGAACATCACTGAAAAATGAACTTGAAAACTCGCTTGCCGATCCAATCTTTATACTAACTTTAAAGGATCTTCCATGTGAGGCAATCGTGGTAGCTTCCGGAATAGCGAAAGGGCTTGTCACCCTCAATAAAAATCTTGCCAATGTGAGGTCTTCTCTATATCTTGTAGCATCGTGTATGTCAACCAGTGTTCCCCATCTTCCTACTACCTTCTCTAAAAAAGATACATTCCAGCAAAACAAAGGAACCCCAAATAATTCCACCAGACAGAAGGTCATTGGGACACCCTCATCATTCAATAATAGTTCCAGTTGGTCGAACAATAGATTCATAAGCTCCTTCCTATTCATCCAAATATCCATCATCTCCTCGGTTGAGTTAAACACTATGACGCAAGAGTTCCATACATGGCCCCAACGAGCAATTTGGATATCAATACCATCTTTAGCTAGAGCCTTCTTAATCAACTCAATCTGTAATGATTGTTTAACGATCCCTGTTAAGGACCTTTTAACCCAACTTGAACTTTCCGATGGAATATACATTTGTAAAATGTTTTTCTTAGCCATCTCCCTGTGAGAAACATCTGAAAACAGATCCTTATTCCCCATAGCACTTCTATTTGATAGCAAAGCATCTTTGTAAGTTCTAGCATCCCTGATACTTCTGTTAGAGTTATCCACCTCGTTGGACTTTGAAGTATCTGCAGAATCCTAACTGGAAACCTTCTTTGAGAACATATTCATCCCCACTACCCTTGATCGAGATACCTTATATCTTGCAGGACTCCCTGAAATCAACCTCCCATCTATCAATATACCATTTAAGGCTTCAACATCCTTCTTCAAACCAATCTCACTCTTAAAATGAACAAAAGCAAAAGTGGAGAATTTGTATTTTGGATTTCTTGTTTCTTTAGGAATAAACACTCTAAAAATTTGACCATGGACTAGGAAAATTTCCCTTAAAGAACGACGAGAAACCCTCCTACTAAGGTTGTCGACGAACACCGTACAAACCTCATCGGAAACTAACTTTTCTTTCAACTTCTCTCTCTGAGATTTGATTTGACCTGAACCCCATTCTTCTTGTAATTCATAACTTTTCGGGTTATTTGCCAATGAATTACAAGAAGAATGGGGTTCGGGTCAAATCAAATCTCAGAGAGAGAAGTTGAAAGAAAAGTTAGTTTCCGATGAGGTTTGGACAATGTTCGTCGACAACCTTAGTAGGAGGGTTTCTCGTCGTTCTTTAAGGGAAATTTTCCTAGTCCATGGTCCAATTTTTAGAGTGTTTATTCCTAAAGAAACAAGAAATCCAAAATACAAATTCTCCACTTTTGCTTTTGTTCATTTTAAGAGTGAGATTGGTTTGAAGAAGGTTGTTGAAGCCTTAAATGGTATATTGATAGATGGGAGGTTGATTTCAGTGAGTCCTGCAAGATATAAGGTATCTTGATCAAGGGTAGTGGGGATGAACATGTTCTCAAAGAAGGTTTCCAATCAGGATTCTGCAGATACTTCAAAGTAGCTTGTTGTTGTATGAGGTGTAATTTCTTTTTGGAATAATATTTGAGGCACTTTTTTCTTCCTTCCAATGTCCGCTGAGGTACTTTTGTACAACGACGGTTATGAAGGTGGTTTTTAACGAGGCCTCGTTTCTTATCAAAGATAAATAAATGCCCTATACAATGACTCAGGATATGTGAAAAGAAAAGGTATTATAGTCATACAATAAATAAACTACCAACAGATAGAAAACCAGGAAAAACTTTCTCTAAGGTGACAGCCAACAATTGAATCCCCCAACCTCATCTTCTCATTCTTTTTTATATTAGATATAAGAAAAAGAAAACCAAATGAAGAAAGCTGTGGCCCAGCATGAAATGCAGCCAGTAAGCACTACTAGAAAAGGCAAGGAGGCATCAAAAGTCAAAACTGTGTAACACAATTTTGAAGTAATGGGTTCGAGGGCTGTTAACGAGGTTGGATCAAAAGAAGTTTCAGTGTCATTTTACACCATAAGTAGGGCACGGATTAAAACCAACTTTCTTCAATGTTGAAAATAAACCACATGAAGGTTCCATTCTGATTTTTAAACTCCGAAGAAGGGATTTAACCATGGGTAAACATTATGTAAGAGAATGCAGTACCTGAACTGTATTTGTATGCTCTTCTACGGGCACTATGGCTGAGCCATCAACTGCATCTGAACCACCTTCCAATCCAGAGACCGCAATGTGCTCAGATTGGACAGTAGCACCAGGAGGGCCTTCAACGGCAAATGGGCCCAAAATATCACTAAGGAGGTCTACTGAAGGAGGTTGTGGATCTACTTTACTTAAAGAACCATTTTGTTGCGACAAAGCTTGGTCTGTTGAAGTATCATTCTGCCAAGGTAATCAAATATATTAATCCAAATTAGATTTGAAACAAAAGCTACAAACATGAATATATATATATATACCAAAAACCTAGAAAACAAGTAACTACTATGATTCCAAAAGACCTAACCTCTGTAGTAATCATGCTGGGCACCTTTATGAGACTAAGCTGGCCAACAGAAATTCGTAATGTTACCCCGTTAGCAGGGTACTGGTCAGTTACAACTAAAGCATTTGATGTTTGCTGTTGAGCACGCAACTTGGTAGCACTTTGCTCTGCAGTGTCAGCCTCAGAATATTCTGCCCTTTTGATCAATGAAGACTGCAAATTGAGGACATGAGCACGGTTAGCATGGTTAACCATCACTTGAATCAAGACTGACATGGGATGCCTGGAACTCCAGCTTTAGCAGCCAATTTTAAACAAATATTGCAAAGTACACACCTTACGCTCAGGAAATTTAGGCATTTCAGCCAATATATCCATCAGAGCAGCACCTTTCTGACACAATGCAAGATATTCAACAGCTCGTTGTTGTATCTCGGCATCAATGCAACTCTCATATCTGAGTTAACAAATACAAATTTATAGTAAGCAATTTCCAGATTTCAACGGACTAGTTGAGTTGTTAATCAATGTAAAGAAAAAAATATAAACATAAAATCTCACTTATTGAATATTGCCCAAATCTGACTTTGAAGCTCTTGATCTGGTGGCTGAGTGTGCATCAAAATCTTTGCATAAGCTGACAAAAGAATAGGAATGGTAGTAGTCCTGAAACACAATATCCATTTTAAGACACTAAAATATATGGAATGCAAATATCGCCCGAATCAAGGTATGAAGGTTCTTACGATACAGTAGCAAGTTTCTCATGTAAGATGCTAAAGATTTCTTTTGGACTACACCCAGGCCTTCTAGCCAATAGGTGGCTATATTCTCCAAGAATGTAAGCACTGACCTGAAACATACAAATTCCAAAGTGAACTTATATATCTCTATCCCTGAAATATACAGATCTTGCTAAATTCAGTGCTGAATAATATCAACTTGGAAAAGATTAACACAAATAAGGAAGTCTGATTGAATTTGGTTGAATAAAAAACAAGAGAAAGAGGAAACAATACTCAATGCAGTATGGTACATATTTGGTCCATGATACATAGAATAAGTTAAAAAATGCAAATACCTTTAATATTGAGAATAGAATAACGACCCTAAAATGGAAATGCCAGATACAAATGAAGCCAAAATGATGATTCAATAAAAATCCCTACTTTGGCTTTTAAGGAGGTAAGCTGTGACATAAATACCGGTTTTAACAGGCAAAGATCTCTAATCTGGTCAGATATGCGTTTCCTACCGCCCAAGGATAGATAAACAAACCCATAGAAGCTAGTATTTTACTGCCAATTTTTTTTAAAAATAGTATGGAATATTTACGCCATTCACATGAACCATACACTATACTTTCCAAGACCACACAACTCATCTGGAAAAAGGAAACACAAATTATACAAACCTTGACCATGGTCTCATGTACAGCAGGCTTGTCAATATACTCTTTTACCTTTGCAGCTGCATAAGGCTGGTCACAAGCATAAAAGTCTCAGCCCAGAAACCATCGAAAAAGAAGAAAATATTCAGTTATAAAATACAGAAGTAAACCTGTCAGAATTTTTTATCACCTGTAGGTCATCATTGTTAGTAACAAACTGCACAACACGGAACCATATGTCATCACTAATAAAATCTCCTGCCTTGTCAATCAATTGAAGGATAACATCCACATACCTGCAAGATTTAGGCAAGCTAGTCATTTTCAAAGGGATAACAGGCAATCGTATGATGAATTTGATGTACATAATAGAAAAGAAAACACTGAAGTACAAATTTTTTAGTCATTAGAATAAATGTTAATATCCAGCTTTAACCAAGCATGCTTACCATGACAAATCAGGAGCAAACTTCTCTGCAAGAATGGCAGCCTTAAGTGACAATTCTTCACGCATTGTGAAATCAGCCGAGCTGAGATACTGGTAAAGAGATGACGGTTATATTCTCATCTTATGCTTCAACATTTGAATAGTTATATGGAAAAAAATCATCCGAGTATTATTCAAAGTAAAACAATTTCATGTTTACGACTATGGTACCTGCAATAATTCTTCAACGATGTCCTTTGCATTTGTTACATCGCACATTCCATAAAGCAAATCAAGAGCACGCCTACGAATACTGGAAATTCCATAATGCCGTCAGTCAACAAAAATGAATCTTAAGAGCGTAAAGTTCAAAGCACAAGTAATTTAATTTATATAATAGAATTTGTTTGATTATTGCTTATGGTTGCCATTTATAAAAAAAATCCATTATTGCTATTTTTTATTTTTTATTTAATGTTGCAAGTATGTATTTGAAGGGTCTGCAGAAGGTCATATCACAATACCTTCGTCATAATGCAACAGATACAAGTACTTCAACACAAATGAAGAGTCGGAGCAACATATGATACAAATTAAGGTTTTAGATTGAATTAAACTACTTTGTGTCAATTAATCGGATGAGGAACTCATCAACAGACAGCAGCATAAGGTGATTTCAAAACTTTTCAATTGCATAAGCAAGGATAGGTACAAACACTGGTTATACACTTTGACATTTCTTATATGGGACAAGTGATAGATGTTACCTGGATTTGAGTCTAATTACTAATGATTCCCAAAAGAGAATCATAGAAATAACTAACTGATAGATGTTACCAAGATATAAGCCTGAATATTGATGTTAATCCTTTTTTGAATTCTCGCCTTGTACTAGTTCTCACTCTCATTTTGGAAACTGACCCTACTAATGATCGTCTGTAGGTCAATAATTATGTAACTGTTCCTTGGTGGATGAACAATATTGGCAATTTCAAAAGCAAGAATAAGCATGTTCTTTAAACACATTTTGCAAGATGTAAATTCCTTATCAGTTGGTTTGACAAAACCTGAGTTAGTTGGAAAATTGATTTTATAGATCTCTTATAATATTACTTTTTTAGGGGAACTCCCATTGTTTGTAAGTCTTGATTGTATACATCTTTTTCTTTAAGCATCAATGCAAGCTGCGTTTTTTTTTTTTTTGGGGGGGGGGGGGGGCGCTAAAACTGTAAAAATAAGAAACTCAACCTGACATCTAAAACTGTCAAAATAAGAAACTCAACCTGACATCAGGGTCCTTCAATGATGTGATAATCTGCGCCTGATGTCTTTTGATAATCTCTTGCACATCAGTAACCATTAGCATCCTAGTCATATTTTCCTGCAACCAAGCAGTTTAAAACTATAAGTAAATCGTTAAGTTATTGGTAGCTTTGGCACATGTGAACATAATTGCTACCATTACAAAAGAAGATCATTTAAAAGAGAACTAAGTTATCATGTTTCTATAACTTACCAAACCAAGATATCTAATATTTGGTTCACGAACAGCGATAAATTTTCCAAGAAGGGCAACACATTGAGACATCATCTCCTTTTCAGCATCAAGATGCATGACCTGTAACAAGGAGAGAAAATGCACAATACATCTTAGAAAACAACTTTTCCAACATGCATTCTAATTTAGAACAGTGACATATGTACATGTTTGTATCCTATATGACGCTCTAAGAGGGACCAGGAGAGTGGAGTAAAAAATATAGATCAAACCAATACAGTATGTCAGAAAGCAGCAAGAAAGCAGACAGATTTCCACTCTCAAACCATGCATTCTCCCTTGTGCAAGTGCAAAGTGGGGTGTTATCGTCAATGCAAAATACTTCTATTAAATTCTTAAATATGGAAAAATATGCATGCGTGGATGCTAAAAGGCAAAGAATAGATAGTCAGGGAGTGAAGTTCATAATAAGTTTCACACGACAAAACCAGGATTTGTAGCGAACTCACAAGTGCAAGGGCTTCAAAGAGTACAGCATGTGATGCATTATTTTTATTAACGTTTTTCACAACATCAGTTCCCATTAATATCCTTTGTAAGACCTGAAGCATGCAAAGTTCCATCAGTATCAAACTAATATTAAAAAAAATCAAGAGATGAATTCTACGGGAAAGTTAAAACCTCAAACAATGTTCTCCGCGTAGAAGGATCTTCAATGGTTGGAAAATACTGGAGAGCCCTCATCGTCTTAACCTGTTAATGTTGAAGGAGAAAATAATAAACATCATATAAGCTTTACCAAAAAGGAGTTGATAATTACTAATAGTCAAAGTCATCCACTCCAAAGATGAGATAGGAAAAGAAACAAGGAAAACAATTTCAAACAATTACCAAGTAGCCTAGTGCAAACAGTCTACACAGTAATCAGACCATGCACATAACATTTTTCAAAGCTTGGGATTGAATTCATAGAGGAGTGAAACAGAAGTACAAACCTGAAGCCAGGGAGATGGGATACCATAGTAAGTATATTCCTGAGGAACATCTTGGTTCCTTGCAAGGCGCTCCAATATCTTAACACATTTTGGAAGGCAAGACCAATATGCTTCATGATTATTTGATACCAAAGCAACAAGAAGGCTCATAGAAGATGTCAAAACACCAAGATCACGCTCATCTAAAAGTTGAGCCATTCGATCCGCCCTAAACATAGGGAAACGAAATAAATTCAGAATAAGCACAACTAGTATCATAAAACAGCCACTTCGGGTAAAGTTTTAACATTTTAGCATACCAGCCATCAACATTGACAACATCAGGGTTTTTCCTATACAGTCGTAGCAAACATAATGCAGCCTTTTTCCTTACAAGTGGTCTGCAGCTGCTAGAAAGCTGAAATAACAGATTTCATCGGTGAATTATTTTGTAAAAGATGTACGTGAAGTTAAGAAGTTTCTGGTCTCTTACAAGTAAATTTTGAACATCAGGTGCCAAAGATTCAGCAAATTCCCTCCCACCAATATTCCCAACCTGCAGAATTAATTCAGGATAAAATATAGAAAAAAAGGTATAAAAGTAACAGTATGAAAAATACAAGGTGCATATAATGATAAGAATCACTATTGCAGACCCAAGAACAATAACCTACAATGTAAATTATGAAGTGATGAATAACATTTAGAAAAGTGAACAAATGTATGCATCCCAATTAAGTATGCAGTAAGGTAGTTATTTGATGGTGTAAATCAGAAATAATTCCTTCCCATTCTAATTACAAGGAACATCTAGAACCAAAAGCAAGTTTTTCAGCCTTACCATGGTTAGAGCAAGGCACTGAAAAGTCTCATTTCGACCGATTATATCATTGCGTACAGTGTTGATTGCTAGTCTCAGAAAATCATTGTTTTCATTGAGTAAGCAAGAAGTCGCAATGTATCCAACCTGTGATCAATTATAGGAGAACAAAAAAATGGAAACATGCAGATCTCAGTATCAAGCATAGTGTATTATAATTAATTGGTTACACAAGCTTCCATTCCAAATCTATTTGAGATGCCCACTAAAATATTTTCAGAGATCAGGATAAAATTATATGATGGTTAAAATTGGTTATTATACTTTTCAACAGTAGCAAAATTTTTCCAGCTTTATTTTTGGAGATACATAACATGCAACAATAATTGTTATAAGCATGAAACCAAAACTTTCATGGTAGTGCATATTCTAACGAGTGATACAGAGATCAGACGTCCTAACATGCTATCCTCTTAGCTCTTTATGCACTCAAGTTTATTGACTTATTCTTTCTTGGGGAAAGAAGAAATGGTTATAGCTACTTCAGACCTTGGTTACGACACTTTTCTCATTTCGTCTTCTTTCCTGCTCCTGGACAGGTGTCATTACTACAGCATGGATCCACTATGTCTTTTCCTCCATTTAATCCCACAAATGTGCCTCTAATTGTATTAAAGGGCAAATGAAAAGGATTTTACCTGCTTTTCTGGATACTTTGGTGCAGATATCAAGGACACAGTTTCCATATGACCAAAATCAACGTCATAGCCCAGCATGTATATATAAAGCATTTTCCAAACATATTTCTTCTTCTCATATGGTGTCAGTCCCTGTCAGAAGAATATGAACTTTCAATAAGAAACTTCTACTCATCTTCTTAAGTCACTACAAAGACCTTGTCACCAAACAAGCTACTAATAGGTCCTAGGATTTAAATGTCAAGCTAAAACCTCTCCCAGAAAAAGTTAACTATTAAAAAAAAACAATGATGCTACATTCTTGAAGCTGGACTGGACAACAGGCTGAAATTCACAAAGAGCCCCTAAATAAAGAAATATATGGATTCCTGTAGAAGGGAATGAACCTGACATTCTAGCATGTTTGGAGCTGGAAAAGAAGCTCAATGTGAAAGAACACAAATGCAGTTTTGGTTTCTTACTAACTTTAGTTTATTTGTAAGAACCTTTATGAGAATCAAAGATGATAAACAAACATGAAGATGCAAAATTTGTGTAAATAAAATTACCCAACAATTTAAGAAAGTTGTTGGTACCCGGTACACAACTTCTTGTGAGGGAAACATTAATTAGATTGAGAACCTTAGTCCTGTCCCTTTCAACGTATAGAACATGAAAGGGGAATGTAGAAAAAGGCCAAATAAGGACTACCAACAAGTGTGCTCACAGGGTGATGTTAGAAGAGATAGAGAGGAAAACAGACAGTAATTAACATCAAACCAAATCAAAGGCTTGAAGGACGTCTACTAAATATTACTCCTTCCGTCCCACTAAAAGTGTCCCTTTTAATTTTTAAAATTGTCCCATTCAAAATGTCCTATTAGAAAAGTCGACAAATAACAATACTTAAATTTCCTTTTTTACCCTTATATGTCCCACTCTTTTACACCTATCAAAATAAATCTATCAATCACTTTTAGGGATAATTTTGTCATTTCCCTTGGTCAAATATATATCCTAAAACTATGTTCATGGTCAATATAGGACAAATTATGGGACGGAGGGAGTAATAAACAGCAGTATCTACAAAATCCAAATAAAACGATATTTGCCATTTGAGTATGCCAAGGGATTGATAAGTTAATCACTTTATTTAAATGCATCTTTAAAAGTTAGAATCCTCACAAAGGGATACAATTTTGAAGTTCTAAAAACATAGTTAAAACTTTTTGCTTTTTAAACATGGTTCTGCAGTATACAATCAATATCAACTTACTGGCCTTCACTGCCAAACTGGCGAGAACTGAATCTATAAAAAAAAAGAGTCGTGGACCTAATAGTCATTCAACAACCAGATTGAGCAAGCTTATTGCATGAGACTTATTTAATTGCAACTCTATGTAATTTATGCTTTTACCGAAAGCAACAGGCTTATTTGATTAGAGTGCTGTTGTACTACAGGGTACAGAACTACAGATTGTGGTGCCTACCAACTATAGGACCATAGAAATATGCATGTTAGGAGTTTTTAGCTGGAAGAACAAGTTGTGAGAGATACTCGTGATTGGCAAGCAAAATACTTGATAGCATTATAAAAAAATCACTCAAGTTAGTCTTCGTAAAAATTGTTAAAAGTCTTAAGACTATGAGCTTTAATCCAACCACACACTATATGGATTACTTTGCTTGTGCTTCTGTGTTATTTTTTCCATGTTTTTAGTTCATCTTTTATTTTTCATTTTTCACTTTAGATTGAAAAAAAAATAGAGTAAAAAGTAAAGAAAAGCAAAAGCCCCAATAAAAATGAGCCTATTATAATATTCCAATATGAAGGATATAGGTTTCGCAGCAAAAAATGTGCCGATAAAAGTTTAAAATGATAGCAGTTTCCCCACTCAAACAGCAGCCACTGCTATTCTGAAACAGTGAAGAACATCTTCCCTAAAAAATTATGAGAAATTTCATTTGTTATAATTTTATTCTAACAGTCCACTGAAACGGAAAACTATAGAATTTTACAGGCGTTCAAAAACACGGGTTTTAAATGAAAAGGTTTTTATAGACATAACAAGCTAGTTTCAATACTTAAAAAGTATACAAAAGAAATTAAAAGAAATAACACAATGATAAACCCCAAATAGACTTGACAGCTCAGTTAAGTTCACCTCTGCTCCCAAACAAAACCAAAATTCCAAAAAAAATCTAAGTACAAAAAGTAAATAAAGCTCACTGATTCTTATCTTAAATGAGTTCTACTGGAAGCACTTAGAAAACTTAAAAAGTAAGTTCGATCACTCTGTTAGCACGACCTTATAAATTACAGAAAATATTTAAAAAAAAATCTTTGAAACCCTAACCTTCTCGTTTTTGAAGCGATTACGGACGTTGCCGAGCTCTTTATCGATACGTAAACGCTCTTGCTCCTTGTTCTGGCAGTTTCGGATGTCGCTTATAAAAACTGAGAGCCCTCTCATTCCGTGCATCGTCATTCCACTTTAACCAAACAGATCCACCTCTTCTCCCTGCTGGATCTGCCTCTAGATTTTTCAGATCTTTCTCTCTCTTTTTTCTATCAACAGCGACGGAGAAATCGATCCGGCAATAAGAAATCGAAAAAAATTTCAAAGGCGAAATGAGTTGAACTTAGAAATGGAAAATTCAAATTAAAGGTGCGATGGTTTGATCTAGAAGAAAGAGAGACATGAAAGGGAGACGGTGGTGGAACAAATATTTGGAATAGAAAAAAGCCGTAGCGAAGAACAGGTGCAGTCTGGAGACGACTTTTATTTGACTCGGTTTAATTTAATTTTGTTTTTATTATTTGAGTAAAGAACACAAATGGTCCCTTGACTATAGGTCACTGATTTTTTGAGCATTTTAACTATTACAAATTATGAAATGATCCCTTAATTATAGTATGCTACTTTATTGAGTTTCTTGATTATTAAAAGTTATAAAATGGTCACCCGATTATTCATATGTTTCGGATTAGTCCTTTTCTATTAAAAAGTTAATGGTAGTCTGAGATGAATGTTAATTTGCTGACTGTGATATGATAAAATTTAATCTTAAAATCTCAAGCGACTATCATATCTCAGTTAACATGTTAACATCCAGCTTAGACTATCATCATTTTTTAGTGAAATATGATGAGTTTGGAACATATGAATAGTTTGATGACCATTTTGTAACTTTTAATAGTCGAGGGACTCAACAAAGTAACGTCTTATAATTAAGGGATCATTTTATAATTTTTAACAGTCAATTGAATCCATAAAGTAACGTCCTATAATCTAGGAACCATTTGTGTACTCTACTCATTAATTTTTTTAATTTACTAGTTAATTTATAGTCTAAATCATTGAATTAAATTCCATTTTTATTTAGATCACAATTTTTTAATTTAATCAATTTATAACATTCAACTTTTAATATTAAGAGTCTATTAAACGACTTTAATAATAAAAGATAGTTTATTCTCCAATTGAGTATATGGACATCCATTGTGCCAAACTTGCACTGCCACTACAAAAAGGACTCCATTATTTCGCACAACCGTCAGGAATAGTAGAAGATAGATTAGGAAAAGATAGGCTGCTTAGATCTCTAGTCACGTAGTTTCAGCATTAGTGCTCCTTTTCACCCAAAAAAAAAAATGGGTACATCCATTGTAAATTAACTAAGAAAATAGATATAAATTTTTTTGTTAGAATTATTTAACAATATTAGGATATAGAACTTATTTTTTTAATAATAAAGATTGAACGAAATAATTTGATTAAATTTTTGTAATCTGAATAAAAATAAAAGTTAAATTTAATAATCTACAATATAAATTACATAAATTTAGTACTACATTCTTTTTCATTTATTCATGAAGCTTCAGGGAAGCCAAAAAAAACATTGAACTATAAAATGAATAATTATCAAAACTGCTCGTCAAGTTAGATCTAAAGTTTAATGTAACACATGAAGTTTAATGTAAAGAATTTGATTTAGTTCTACTTATTTAAAAGTAAATACACACTTCTAATTTCAAATTAGACAGATGTATAATATGAAAATTCATCCGTACAATATGAAAATGTAATATGATATTCAATGATTTATGAAATTAAATTAAAATTGCATATGTATAATTACATAAAATTAAAATTCTTATATTACATTGTACATTTAATCAAAATTCATGTACAGATTAATATCTATCCCTTAAAAATATTCGATACATATATTCTATCATTTTATTTAAAAAAACTGATAAAATAATTGATACGTCCAAGTATTAGGAGGAAAAGGAAATCGCAATCCAAACATGAACACGATACTGACCCTAAAACAGGGAATTCTCGTAATCCACAAAAGGAAAAGGCTTGTCATGATTAAAAGCCAAATTTCTAATGAAAGGAAAACCTTCTTTCAATGGGAAATATTTGAACAAACCTATATATCTAATTCTTTCGTTTTGTTCCTATAACTGGGTGTCATTTTGATTGTTAAGACCACTTGGGCGGGCGGGCGGCGAGTCTCATTCAAGAAGCGGCCAGCCACAGAGATGGATATTGCTTTGCTCTATTGTACACCACTCCATTAGGCCCAATCTACGAATTGCATACCACCGTAAATGTTATTGGCAAACCGGACACCTACTGTGAAGGCCATTGCAAGCGGTGGAACCTGCTTAGCAGCCGGTGATGCTTCTACCAGACGCTCTAATCCGTTAATAATTTGATATCGGGTGTTGGAAGATACCCCCAGGAAAACACCTGATTAAGATGGCAAACCATTAGCAGGATGGAGATCAACAAATAGAACGTCCTATGTTAACGAGTCTCCACAGTAGTTGCTAACTAAACTGTTAACTAGATTTTGTCAACCAATTTTCAAACTAAGAACATGAATAAATGAACAATTTTCAGTTAATCGTTTAAAACCCATTCAAGGGTCAAGTACTGAAACACTCCATGAAATAGTTGTCACGATTAATGGATGAATGGATGATTAAGAAGTACGAGACTGAAGTTAAAAGTTGGAATGTAAGTATGTTAGACGTACCCCAAAGCACAGCACTTTTCACAAGAGGTGGCACAGGAACGTCATCATCTGATTTCCTTATGTTCCTGATCATTTAGAAGATTTATACAAGCAATAATTCAAAACGAAATAACAAAAACAGTCAATACTATTAAAGTTTAGAGATAAATCACATTAAAAATTTAAGAGGTTTGCTCAATTACAAAAATAGAAAAACAGTTGGAAGAAGGAAAACTTAGGGGGTATTCCTCTCAGGGAATGCAATGCTAGGATTAAGTAGGTTTTGCAGGTTTCAAGCCAAAACATTCCCTATATAAGAGAGTTATGAACTCGAACAAGTGGAAAAGCCAATTAGATCTCTGCAAACTGAATTCTAGTCCCAAATCATTTGAGAAACACATTGAACTTTTAGCAGGAATGAACACCAAGAAGGATTTGAGTATAAATGGTGAACCATGAAAAGGTACAAGTATAGAGAGAAAATTGAACCTTTTAGCAGTCATTATGAGATTTGCAATGTCTTGGCCAACAAGACCACAGCCGAACCCTACTGAGCCATACAATACACCCTGGATCCAAGATAAACCAACAAATAAACTAACAACATAGAATGTCATAATACATTTTTTTATAAAAATGGAAAAAATAAGGGATGCTCATATGCTACAGTAGAAGCAGAAGATACAAGTAGGGGAACTGGATGAGGAAATGCAAAGTGCTTTGATCGTGCAAGAAATAGATAACCATACAACAATTATCCGAGGGTTAAACTAAATGCAACATCATATTTAATCGGAAATGGAGCAACATGACCTCCCTGCTTTGACATTTCCTCTAAAAGTCATTCATTATGCAGAGGTACCTTATAAAAATATGTAGCAATCCGCTGTTTCACTGAAAATTTACAACCTGGTCTTTCGGCTTCAAAAACACTGTTAGAGTAGAATAGTTCACATTGAATTAAATTTTTCAATATTTTTTTTACTAGTTAAATCTGCGTAAAGTACAAAAAATGGAATAGAGAGGAGCAAAATGAAATTTTATGTTTTACCTAAAGAACAAATTGTTATAGTATGAAATCTATTCTTTAATCAAACAGCGAGAATGTCTACCAATGATGAGCAAACTCAAAGGAATGCTTAAAATTCAATTTTCAAAATAAGTGATCAGAATTTTATAAGACATAAGTTGTTGGTATGTTACGAAGACCTGCTAGGAAGAGAAGCAGTAGCACGCTGTAAGCTACCAAATAATCATCTGGCTGCAGATGGTTGACCAAAACGAGCATATGGTGCTAACATACCAACCAAAGCAATGTCAACCACTATACCGACCAAAAGGTCCGCAAGGTACAACTCAAACTCTGCCCAAAAATCCTTTCCCCTTTTCTGTATTTCCGCAAATGTTGCACAGCAAGAATCAATTACTAACTGCATCATGATACATCAAACAAATAAGGAAAAATCAAGTGGAAAACTTAAGCACAGAGAAATGCTCAGCATAAACTCTAAGAGACAGAATCACAAGTACATGTTGCTAAATTATAGCAAGGCTTATCAGGCTAATTACAGCATAATGACGAGACAGCAACCAAGTCATATAGTTAATGTTAACGCCTTAACAGTCACTTGGTCAGTACATTAGTAATTTTATAACATGGGCTCATATGGATAACTTTCAGAAATCACTAACATTCATCTAATCGTGTGAATAAACATAAAAACTACACAGAAACCTCTGTTCCAACTTTGAAAAGAAATGAAGGATCTTCTAGCATTCGATTCAGGAGCAAAGTGCAGTACTTGATTAAAAAGTTAAGTGGCCAAACCGTTCCCTGTCAATTTAAAAGGTAAAAGGTGAGAGCATAAAGCGGCTTGTTCATAAAAATAGATCAAAACCATTTAACTGCTGCAGATTTAAAGTAAAACAGAGGAAAAGAAGGAAACTAACAAGAACCGACACATTCTAAGCCACTTTTTATCCTTGATTCGTATTAGTTTTAAATTGAACTAAATCAAAATTTAAAGTACATTTGGCCCCTAAGGATGCTGCTATTCGTGAATAAATACCATAATAAGCAATTGCACTATTATTCAATATCAAATGAAGCCAATTGATCTATTTAGTTCCTTATGTAATCGAGTGTCAGAAATTAATTTATCTATATTCCTTAAAGACAATGATTCCCACTTCTATTTCAGTTAATTTTCCCTCCATTTTCTAAACAATTAAACAAAATCAACGAAAAAATGCAGAAGTTAAAGCCTTTCAAATCCAACCTGTAAATCCAAGTAACGAAGAAGGAATAATTTCCGTAATCCATTACTTTTCGCAGCTTCCAGCATATCCGAAGGCAGCTCCACTCCTCTAGCATTGGCTTCCTTCATCACATCCTCAAACTTCAATATTGGACCAAACTCTCTTTCATCTTCATTGTCACCTTCATTGCCACCTTCACCACTGTCTCCGCCACCAAATGAGCCCCCGCCTTCATTACCTCCACCGCCACCGCCACCGCCGCCGAAGTCATTCTTTTGTTGATCACCGTTTCCGATCTCTAAAACCCTAGACTCATCATCAAATTTACCTTTTACCCCTTCCAATGAACTACTAGTTGTGTTCCCCGCGGAATCCGGTCTAACGCAGTGAACCGCAGCCGCGCGATTCGCGAAAGTCAAACGGTGCGTATAAACTGATGATGGTGAAGTTATTTTAGACCGAGATACGGTATTTTTAAGCTCTTTAAAACAAACGAA